CTGCTGAGGGGTTTTTTTTCTTTTTTCCCCTAGTCACGGGCATATTTTGGTGTTTGCATCTCTCCCAAATTCTCTGGGATTGTCCAAATGTTATCAGATGCTTCCATAGCCCACAGGCAGTGGGCAAATCACTGTCAGGTTACAATGCTGTTGTAACATGTCAGTCTTTCACAATGTTATATTGGTGCTTCAGAGCAATTTTTCCTTCCAGACAAATTGAGCCCATGAGGTCTTTCGTCTGCTACATCTATACAAGGTGTTCATATAGAGGGGTCAGCCAAAGGCTTATTTACAAAAAGAAGTCATCCTAGCATCATTTGTTGAAATTAGCACAGAAATTATAGAAGTACTTTGATATAAAATTTGTATACTTTGGTGAAGGTCAGCCTCTTTCCAGTGATACAAAATTATTGGGAAACTTTCATACTAAAAGATGTCTCTACAGAGTGCTAGTTTTGATTCTGCATAAATACCAGTGACAGAACTTAGAGGTGGGCTCACCAAATTAAAAGTTCTTAAGAAGAAAAAACCCACAAGCCCACCACTTTGTACAAGTGATATGGAGGAGAGCACGATTCAAATACAGTTTCTTTGCTTTCTGTGAACTAGCTTAAACTTGGCTCTCATTTGTGGTGAGTATGAAATGAGTAACACTGCACGATGTGTGATGTACAATAAGGATGGGATGCTGTAATTGGGAGTGGGAGGGAAGGGTGCTCCTTTCTCCAGGCACAGAGACAGATGCAGGTATGGATGTCCCTGGTCAGCGGATAAATTCACTACATAGCTGAAGATGGCCAAGTCCTTCACTGAATTTGAAGGGGAGGTGCGTAGGGCTACTTATGGATACAAAAGGACAGAGAACTGGCTTGGTCTAGTTCATTGGACATCTTTTTTTGGTTTTTTTGGGACATTCTTGGACAGAAACAGGGTACTTTAGCTCCAAACAGGACCCTGTGGATTTTGGAATATCTTTTGGGACTTTGTGCTGTTGGTGCCCTTATAAAAGAAATGTACCTTGGGCTGGTGCGGGACTGCTGGGTTCAGTGCATCCTGTCTGCAGTGTGTTAAAGCAAACCTTAGCCAGACGCTTCTGTTGACAGCAGTGGCATGGTTGTATTAACTTGGGTTTTTTTTTATCAAGTTTCAAGTCCTGATGTCCTGTCCTGGTGGCGCTTAAGTGGGAGGTGAGATGGATCCCATGCAGAGGGGTGGCTCAGTTGTCTGTACCTCAGCTGGGCTCTACAGGTGGAGCTCAGGCTGTTGGCTGGCACTCTGCTGAAGGAAACTTATGATTAGGCATCAGCCTTTTATTTTTGATGCCTTAAGATAACATGTAACAGAGATACTTAACGAGTTCTTACTTTGAGTAAGGCATGTTTCATCCTTAGTTCAGGGGTAGTAAGCAGTAAACATCAGCTGGTGCTTGCCTCCAGCGTGATGTGTGCAGTGCTACTGTCACTCCAAATGCTGTCAGCTAAAACTGGGAATACTTCCATGCTGTCTGTTTTAAGTTTCTGAGCATGGGTAGAAACAAATAAGATGCTTTCCCTATCTCTGAAGTGGCACCTCTTTGCCGTTGCTTTTCTGCTTTGAGGACAGTCATTGAGTCTTAAGCAAAAGGGGGGGAAAGTTGGCAACAGTTCTTCACTGCACACTGAAGAAACCGCGCTTCCACAAGTCTGTTGAATGGTTCTCTCTAGGACACGAAAGAGAACGACCTCAAGTTAGGAGCTGTCATTGAAGTGCCGAAACCTTACCTATGTAATTCTTGAGCATTACCGCTTATGCACATACCTTAAAGGATTGGTAGCTGCTATACCTACTTGCCTGTGCAAAACCTGATGCATAACATGATTTTTGTTGATACGCTTCCAATGTGAAAAGGATTGCTGACTTGCTATGTATGGTGTTACTGGTGATTTGGGGAAGGGTGGAAGAGGGGGGTGAATATTGCTTCCTCCTCCCTCAGTCAGTTTTAAAAGTTATCCACCAAGAATTTGAAAAAATCAGTGGTCTGAGTGAGTTGGAAAGCACTGGTTCTTTTTGATAATGCCTCTCAGACTGTAAATAAAAGCTGCTATTATACGATCGTATAAACAGTATGCTTTGAGACTTTGTATTAGGAAACAAATGAGAACAAACCCTCACATTGTGTTATCAGATAACTTCTTAAAAGAATTAGTCTCTGTTTGTTTTCAGCCTATTGTATATTCAGTAGGTAAATCTTAAAAGTTTAGGATATCATGTGTACATATGTTAAAGTAATGTAGGTCTTTATCCAGGAGGGATTATTCTACCAGAAAAGCATTTAATAACAATGCAGTTGGTTTATACTTAGTCTTGTCAGGGAGAAATTAGCCACAAACTTCCTTCCTGAATTCTCCCACAGAAAATCTCTGGTCGATTGTATTCTAGGTTTTTAAATTAAAGTTAGATGAAAAAGCAATGAACTGTGTCTGTGCCAGCTGTTTTGTCACTGGTTTTGATACAATACCTGTTTCTTGTGTAATTTTTAAGAGATTGCCTTGAGCTGATGTTGTCTTTACTTTTTCTCCATGACAGCTGTAACTCTGCGAGGAGACAGTGGAAGAAGATCGGAGAGGAGAGCCAGGCGAGTTTCAGCATGTCTCTCAGATCATTCACTGGCTAGTGACAGTGGCGTGTTTGAAGCTTTAAGCAAAAGGTCAGGTGTATAAATGCATAGTAAGCTGGAAATATTCCTGTTCTACTGCACGGTCTGAAATAATTCATTGTAAATTTCTGAATATGCTTTCAAAATTACTGATTCTTAGTATCATAAAAATATTAGATTGTGTGTTTTAAAGGAAAGAAGCTTTTTACATGCAGTTCCACTGTCATATTCACAGGTGCCAAGTCCCTTTATTGTCTCTAACATTTTAACACCATATACTTCTCCCTTGAAAGATAGTTTTATCAGCTTACTGGTTGTGAATCAGTAACTTTATTTCAACCATCTATAACAAAATAAAATTATACAGTGTGGCTTAAAATTTTGAGTAGCGTGTGATAAAAGTATAACTGCAAGGAAGAAATATATGAACTGCCAAAAATGTAAAAATATGTAGGTTGACCGAGTGATTGAAGAATGGGTAAAGACGTGTTATTTTATGCAATTGTTTTAACACAATAAACAGTAACTGGGAAGAAGATAAGATTTTGAGGATACTGAAGAGAAATGGAAGACAGACTAAATATTAAACTACCCTAAATATCTTGAAAAAACTCATTTCTTAAAATTGTGAATTACTACTTCTATGTGTTTTTTAAATAGGTATCTTATACAATCAGAATCATTTAGGTTGGAAAAGACCTTTAAGACCATCGAGTCCAACCATAATCCCTTCTTTATTACTAGTCCCTCCTGTTTTACCAAACAATTGCCTATATTCATAAATCACAAAATAAACGTTCATTTCATTATGTTTTAACAGCTTAGGTCAGTATGTAGTTTACAGTACTTTCTGTTCCTGCAGGAATGAAGATCTGGAAGAGCCTGTTTATGGTGATGCTGCCAATAGTGAAGAACCGCAAATACATGTTGGTTTTCTGTGAGTAGCATTACTCCTCTTTCCCCTTGTCAACTCAGCAGGCATTGCTCACTAGTTTTATTGGTTTTGGTTTTTAACTTTTTCATAAACTTAACTGCAGTGGATAGTTTTAAGAAGTTTCTGAATTGAAAGCCAAATTTTACTGGATGTACAGATTAGTCATCACATACCGATTTCTGCTGGGGATGTGCCTTAACCACGGTTGATTCAGTGTCCTTTCAATGCTGGCTGATAAAAGGGCCTCTGTTACTTCTTTCAGTAATGTTTTCATTGTCTGGGCCATTAATGAGTGTATGGATACATCTCTGTGTGCGAGGTCTGACTTTTTATGCCAGGTAAAGAAGGATTACCTTAGGAAAGTCACAGGTGAAGACACACAAATACAGCTTTGAAGTACTGTGCTTAGGGTATGCTATTGTTAGCAGTGGGAGTAGCCTTGGGAAGGTCGGTGCAAGGCCAGATGTCATATCTTAACCCTCCAGAATTCTCTCTACCCCTTGGAAAACTAATTCCCAAGACAGAATTTTCAAATATCAACCAGGTTTGTTGTTCCATTTCAAAATCCATGCTGATGTGAAAGAGTGAATTTTTAATTTATTTTCATTAGCCCACGAAAATAATGCAGACTGATTTGTCTAATGTAACTGATGCATTACACGTGTGCACACATGCACACACTCGCGCGTATGGTGTAACTGTTTAAACCAAGGAGTGTATTTTATAAAACCTGTTCACTATTAAGAGTCACAGTAGGGAATATTATTCTTTTTAAATTGAATAATGGTTAATTCTCTTAGTACTGATAACTTTGTTACCTTAGCTAATATTATTAATAATGTTCTGTTATCAGAGTGTGATATCTATAATTGCTTTTGATTCAAAGTGATTTAAGAGATTTGTTTAACAGCAAAAGGTGCTTTTACATTCTTGAAATCTTTTTGGTCTTTCATCTCTATCTCTTAAGCAAAGTATTGATGTTTGGTGACTAACACAAGATTTATTTTCCAGGCATGACAGTGGAAATGAATGTCTGTTAGTCCATGTGTTACAGCTGAAGAACTTCAGTAGTCTAGTTGTTAAAGAAAACTGCAAAATGTAAGCTTAAATTTCGCCCATAGTCTGATCATTGCTTTTTTTTGTGCCACAATCGTAGATACCATAACTTTGTTTGCTTTCATGCAAAATTAAGCCATTTCTGGAAAAGATGGTGTGTCTTCGTTTACATGAGGATAGGGTTAATTTTATGGACACAAAGTGTTCCTTTTATGGAACCTCTGTCATAATGGTCAGGTAACAAGCATAGTCTCTAATGACCCATGTTTTTAAGTGTTTGTTATGTTCAGGAAAGTTTGTTCAAAAACATTAAAGTCATGCTTCCATCACCCTGTGCCTTCTGGCCCAAAAGCTGTCTACATTATTTGCAGTATTCCAAAAATATTATTTCCTGTACAACTTCTCTACAGCTTATCTGTGATGTATCCCAGAATAAGCTTAGTGTACTTTTCTCAAATTTCTACTATAATATCTATATTAACCAGTGAGAGATACACCTTGCCCTTTATCTTAACCAAAAGAATGTAAACAAACAAAACAGGACAATTGCAGGCTTTTGTGGCCATTACAATTCTCCTTTGAATATCTGTGAAACACCATTCAAAGATAATTTAAACACAAATACTAGCTGAGAATCAGTGCAAACAACTGATTTTTTTTAATCTTTGTTGGCCTGTGCTACTTTTTGAAATTCCATATCACATTATATAGAACGTTGCTTAGTTTATTCTAATAAATGGTTCGTAAATAATGGCAATGTTGCCATAAAATGCAGCCTTATCTAGTGATATGTATCTTAACATGTTTTAAAGAAATTTCACTCTTGAAAATTGTTGATCTTTATCTCTGGGAGAGGTTGTTTGAAAAATGTGGAAAATGGAGATGTGATAACATTGTTGTATTGTTATGTAAGTCATTCTGTGGGGGTTGTTAAATTGCCATACATCTCACTGAATGAGCTGATCTTTGTTGAGAACGCTTGATTTTGCTAACTCTGCAAACCTCTAGTGGAAATTCTTCATATCAGTGAGCGCATCAGTGTCAGTTGATTGCTTTGTTTTCAGTGTGAGGGTGAGGGTTTGTTATAGGGAAAAAACGTGAATATTTAGTACTCAGTCATATTGCCTTGCAATTAGAAAAATAAATGTCATCTGAAGAAAGTCAAGTAGAGTAAGCATGGTAAAAAAAGACTCCAGAGGGTTTGTTGGACATTGTCATCAAGGTGTCTAAGCAGTTCTCAAAAAGGCAGTTCTGTTCCCCATCCTCCTCTGTTAACCACTTGTGCTGGAATCGGTTGCATGGCTGCAGGGTAAATCAAAATGACCAGTCAAAAAACCAGAAGTTTATCTTACCAAACAAAACCATAAAAAGCTTTTGGACAACTTAATGAATTCCTCCATGCAATTGTACGTCCATTGAATCAGAGTTACTGGGGGCAGCGGGGCCGAAGTTACCTGCAGCAGCTGATGAACGGAGGAGTTGGATTGCTCTCTTCTTACAGCACGTAAAGCTGCCTAGCTAACTGATGCTCCACATGGCAGCACTGCAGCTCCACCATGGCGAGCTCTTCCAGTTGTCCTCTAACCATTTACTTGCCTGTCACTGTCAAACCCTCTGGTGGTGGCATAAGGATTTATGCTGTCATGTAGTCAACTTGAGTGAACCTCTGAGCTGGTTTTTTTTTTTTTTTTGGTTGGGGTTTTGGTTTGGTTTTGTTTTTTTTAATCCTTAAGCCTTATTTTTGCTAGGTTAGCTTTTTAACCCAGATAAGTTTTCTAATCGGATTCACAACACAGTTGCATGAATCTGTTTGCTGGCACAAGGGAAAGTATGGGAAAAAATGGGATATTGCAGAGGCTGGACGAGCAGTCAGGACAGGGAGAACACAGAAATGCTTCTAAGTGGCTCTGCTGCCTTATGTCAGATCAAAATGGTTGCGGATTTTGATTTTTGGCTTGGAGTGTCAAATGAGATGATACCAGATACTTAAATTTGTTTAAGATTGCAGGTGGATGCAAAGACTGTAGGCTTGTTTTGCTGTCCTTTTTGTGCTGAGTTTCTTAAGGGATGAGGAGAAAGGTATACTTAGTGGGTGGAAGGAAAAAATGGATCAGCGACATGGGGCAATTCAATCGCCTAAACATAGGCGTGTGTTTCCATTTGAAATAGCATAGCACAGCACCTGGTCTCTAGCTGCTGCTGCTCAGGAAGGCTCAGCTCTCCCATAGATGCATAGAATGGTTTGAGTTGGAAGGGACCTTAAAGATCATCTAGTTCCAGGGACACCCTCCACTAGACCAGGTTGCCTAAAACCCCATCCAGCCTATAGGATTCCTATGTCATATTTGCTAGCCCCATTGTAGATGCCTCGGATACCTCAGAGCATCTCAATTGCCACTTGGTGACTCTGCTTAAGCACTAAGTTAAAAAAAAAATAAAATTAGTTTCAGTAGAAAAATGAAGGGTTTCCAAATCAGCTTTGCAGTTCTTCTGTGTTGAGAGTACAAAGTATTCTGTAACAAAGAGATTCCAGAGCAGATTATTAATGTAGAAGTTACACTGATGTTTTTGCTTGACTTGATTTTGAGAAATGCCAAATAGTTTTCGTTCTCTTAACTGTGCTATTTGTCTATTTTGCTGTTCCCAGTCATGTGAGAGTTTATTTGCCACCACTTGAGTCAGGCACACCAACCACTTACTGCTCTAGAGCTTTGGAATTCCAAACTCCGTTAATATTTAATGAAGTTTTCCGAATCCCCGTGCATTCGAGTGTTTTGAAATTAAAATCACTGCAGCTGTATGTTTGTTCAGTTGACCATCAGCAACAAGAAGAACTGTTGGTAAGTGATCCTTTTTCTTTAAAGCTCTGTGATATGGGAAACTAGGGTTACTTGAGGAATAATTTTTAAGATTGAAAAGAGAAGGTGAAGACTTTATTTTTCCATAAGAAGTGCCAACAGAGTTATATGTTAATGTGTCTGTTCGCATATGTAATTATGGTTGTGTTAATAAAAAATACATAAGTATCTGTGAAAGGTGGGATTTTAAAAAAGTTGAAATATGTGCATTTTAGGTTACATGGAGCCTTGGAAACAATTAGCAACGTTAGCAAATGTTGAAAATGGGAGCATTTTAAGCAGTGTTGAAAGTAACGTTATGTGTACTATTAATTAACTGTTGCATTGCAAAGGCGTATTAAAAATGGATATAACATTTACATTCATTGCTGTGGGATTTAGTAGATAAGGAGTTAATTCTTTTTTTATTTAATGCATTTCTTACAAATACCTGCTTTGGGGAAAATTGAAAAATCTGCCATTGCTAAATTTTAGTGCAAGAGGGAAAGCGTTGTGTAAAAATTAAACTTTTCCCCAAAGACTTAATCTGCCAGCATTTAGACTAGTGTGCTCAAGACCTCTGTTTCTGCATGGCACTATAACGTGTGCATGATGAATCAGTGTCAGTAAAATAGATTCCTAATAAAAAGATAATAAATACAAACCCCTTGATGCTCTGTTAACAGTGGTCCAAGAAGACTACTGTTATATCAGTCTTAACTTTGTTGCAGAATAATAGTGATCCAGGCAGGTTTCTGTTACACCTTTTACTGTAAACCTATTGAGACATCTGATGTAGGTGCATTCAAATAACTGTAGCAGTTGTTTAAATAGGTTACATGTGTTAACTGTGTTAGCTTGAAGTTAAATGTTCACTTCATTTAGCTATTTTCAAATGTAAGCATACTTAAATAAATCTGCCTTGGGGCTGATGTCCTGGCTATTTGGAAGTCAGTGGGCTGGCATTTCAGTGAGGGGTTTGAACTGGTTAGTGAAATTTTATTTTTGTTTTTTAAGCCTATCAAAGTATCTTAGAGGTACAGGCATCTCACTGTTACGCTGGATTATGGATAAGAGGTGTTTGTTTGAGCAAATTTGGTCAAGAATGCATGTTTGTTAGTCCACCTTTAAAACTAGGTAGCATCTTACATAAACAGTGGTTTTAATGTTGACAGAAGTGTACCCAAGGTCTTGTCTGCAGTGGGAGGCTTTGTCATTTTTGCACTACAGCCTAATGAAAGAGAAAGCATCTCAAGAATGGGCTGGATATATTGGTGTAAAATGCTTTATATTGGTAAAGCCTGTTCCTCTGCGACGCTCAATAGCTATTTCAGTGTAAAGCATCTTTATATTGACACAAGTGCATCTAAGTTTAGGGTGCTTTTATTTTAACTGTTATAACTGAATTAGCAAAAAAATGATAGGCTTTCAGGTTATGTTGGTAGGAGGGGTTTTTTCTTTTCTTAGTCTTAGTGTAGTTTTGTCAGAAATATTTGTCTACAGTGGTTGGTAACCTACTTTATGGTAAGTTAACGCCACTCAAAAAGAGAGAAACTGCCATGGTTTCTTAAGGTGGATGCTTTGAAGTATGTATTTAAACATTATGATCATTGGCCTCTTCTGCTGTGACTTGAAAATAAGTGTTTTTGCAAACTGAGAAATCATTTGCTACCTCTCTTTGGAACTTCTGTGATGGCCTCTATAATTGTCTTTCAGTATCTCTTCCACTGAGATTACAGGTTTTTTTTCTATTGATTTGGTCATCCGTATATTTCTGAAGTTTTTAATGACTGCTTTCTTTTCAATTAGATAATGCCAGTTAAATGCTTTCCTAAATGCAAAAGCCAGGCTGGAGTTTATCCTAAGTTAAACACATTTTTGTACATAACAGGGAATGGAAAAAAAAATATTCAGGCAGTTAGTTCTAAACTTCACTTACATAGAGAAGTAAATCTACTAAACTTGTGGGATGGTCTTTCCATTCCCTCAACCTTTTTACTCATGTGCCCTGCCTTGCTGAAAGTTCTTTTTCTGTTTTCCTACACCTTTCTGAAACTGTGCTTCCTTAAGTCAGCTAATTTCTTCCCTGGTGGCCTCATCAATGTTGAGATAAGGGAGTTGTTATTTTCCATGGTTAGCATATATAGCTCATGTTAAAACATCAAAGAAATGCAATGGCCTTTCTTGCAATCCCACGGCATTGCTGTTTGGCTCCCAGTTTCTGATCTTTTACAGCCTTGACCAACCAATTATTCACCATCTTAATTTATTAGAATTCTTCTTCTCGAGTGTAACATTTGTCTTTTTGTATTTCTTGTTTTTATTTCAGAACATCCATCCCATTTTTTTAACATAATTTTAAATTCTGATCCTTTTCTCATAAATTTTATGATCCTTTTCTCATAAATTTTACAATCCCTCTGTTTGACATCACTGATTCATAAATGCTTTTACTATTCTGCCATCCAAGTTGTTAACAAATGCATCAGAGCAGGCACATGTCAGATGGCTAGCAGACCCGCCTTGGTTTCTTCAGCCTTTTGACTGAGCTCCAAATCTTGGGGTCGAGGTGAAATATTAATTAGTCCTTTAAGCACTGGTAATTATTAATTGGGTTCGATGGTTATTTTCTACCCAATTAGTCATTTGCTTTCTAGTAACAGTTTCTTTGGCATGCTTTCTTAGTGTCTTAATAAATGCAGTGCGTAGGGCAGTGCCAGACATCTCAAGAGTCATTTTTTCTGATATTGATGACAGGAAATCAGCTTTACCCTCTACCTCTAAAACCAAACTCACCCTGTTTTACACTTTTGCATCAGAGTGGGAAAATGTTTATTTGATAAATGTTTCTTTCTTACACTGTGTCAAACCAAGTAGTTAATTAGAAGACATCTCTGTTTTACATATGTACAAGAAAAGGCATCTATGTAGCCTTCAATATACTGACATAAAATGATGTTCTTAGCAACATGTATCCCAATATGACATTATTTTGTTAGTCTAAAAACCATTTCATCATCCTTTATACACCTGTTTAAACAGAGCCCCAGGGAACATTCATCTTGGAAAAACACCACGATGAATTTTTTTTTTTTATTATTATTATTGTTTTCTAATTAACTGTTTCTTTACCTGCTGAAAGTTGAATGCAGTTTCTGTGTACATTTTCTACTGCCTTTACAATCAGAATAATTTCATCCAGCTATTTGTTTTGTGAGAGATGAAAACAATTTTTACGTGATTTTTCCAGTGATATAAATGAAAACAGTCTTAGCATGTGGTTGATTAGCATGGAATTGAACAGCTTGTAGCCATAGCCAGATAAAGCCAAAGGCAGTAAAGGCTAGCTGATATAAAATCATTTCTAGGTCCAGTTAGAGAACTGATTTTAAAAAACAAAAAAAAATTGGTCAACACCATTCAAAAATTTTACATGTGCACTGTCTGATGTTGTAGGGCTACTCTACATTTGGAAATACTTTTATGGGAAGCCTCCGTTAAACCTGTTTTCAGCTGAATCTGGGAGACGTAAGGATGACTTGGAAAGTGGAAAAATGGCTTTATGGCACATTTCACTACCTTATGATATAAATAGGCAGAACAAAAAAAATTGTTGTACATGACATTTTTTCCCCTTTTGGAAGATGCCTCTGAGGACCAGAGAATGGAAGGGTGTCTCAGAACATAATTCTCTCAAAAGAAAGCAGATTACAGTAATGTTGTTAAAGTAATTTCAGTCTAAGCAAATTTAGAAATCGGATATGTAATTGAGAGGTTTTGTTAAATAGAATATTAAGAGTTGTCAGCTGTAACAATCATATCTACATCAGTCATAGGAATTTTATTTTTCAACTTAAAAAAAATTGAATATCTACTCTGTTCCTTCCTTGTAATAAGCAAGAGCCAAAGCAATTCAGTGTCTTAGACACAACAGAACAAAACTAACTTTTTAAGAGATGCCTTTAGTATTTGATAAAGTGGGGTTTTTTTACACTATAAGTAAAATACTTTTTAAATGAGAAGGTGTCTATCCTGCAGTGTCTGTTTATTTTACTGTGGTCAATGCTTCTTGTTGTTTACAGGGTATTGCTCAGATAAACCTGTCTGATGCAGAGAGTTCTGGTGAGATGCAGCTTCACTGGTATACTGTTCAGATCTTCACTGGTTCAGACCCCCAGAGAGCAAAGAACAAAAACCAGTGTGAAGAAAGTATTCCCCGGTCTTCTGGAAATGTAACTACAGTTAAAACAGTATGGGTCTGAAAAAGTGATTTGTGTATTTTACCTGCTGGGTAGTTGTTTGTGATCTTGTCTTGGATGCAGTTTGTTTTCAAGGTGCACAGAAGGTGATAGCTAAATTTAGGTCTTGTGGCAAGAGCTGGATTTCAAAAGAATAATTAAAAGCTAGATCATGTCTGGACAGGTGCTTGAAATATTACTCTGTGTGTATTTGTATGCACACTTCCAGTCCAACTAACTAAAACTCATTAAAAATATCTACCACTGCACTTCAAGAGGCTGTCAAGAAAGGTGGTGCAATTTCCATCCTTGGAGATTTTTCAGCCCGTGACTGGGCCCTGGGTAACTTGATGTGTCTATGAAGCTGTCCCTGTTTTGGTCAGGACATCAGACTAGGTGACCTCCAGAGGTCTCTTCTGACCTAACTTGCTGGATGATGCTCCACAGTGAGATAAAGTCTGCCCGGTTTCTGTGAGAAGTTGCATTCATGGAATGCCATGTACTTACTGATAATTAAGATTTAGGATAGGGGTTTTTTTTTGGGGGGGGGATGTTGGGTTTGTTTTGGTTTTTTTTAAGGAGTGTACAATGACTATGTTTTTATTTCGTTTTCTCTGAACAATATACATTAACTACATTGGCTTGTTCAAATGGTTTTATTTGAAGTCTAGTTTCCCTTTCAGGATGCAGTGACAGCCCTGCTAGCTAGGACCACCGCTCAGCTGGAAGCAGTTGAGAGAGAGTTGGCAGAAGAGAGAGTGAAACTGGAGTACACAGAGGAGGAAATCCTGGAGATGGAAAGAAAGGAAGATCAGGCAGAAGCCGTATCAGAAAGGTGAAAATAGTAGTTTAAATACCTCATCAAACAGCCGAGTGGTATTTACACTATGGGTATAGTCTGAAATACAGCAGAAGAAACAGCAGGTCCTTATTCTGAGATCTGTTCCCTGTTAGCATTACGAGTATAAAATTCTGTTATTATGTGATCATATGCAAACAGGAGAAAACCTTATTTGAATGGCTGGCTGAGTTTAGAGGACTTGGAATTTGGAGAGTGGGAAAACATATCAGAGTCTTTGCTAGGAAGGCAAGTGTAATGGGTTTTCAACAGCACTGTACTAAAAAAAATAAGATTTTGTGGTGACATGGGAAGATGTCAAAGGTAGACATACATTGCTATGCTTGTGGAGCGAACATGCAACACAGCTCTTACTATTTCAGGGTTTCTTACAGTGCCTTTTCATCATTAATAATATTCCTAGTTTGTTACATGAGTTGCGTTGGGTTTTTTTGTTATTGCTTTCTTAGTATTGTTATAAAGACCAGAACATATGCTTTAACAAAATCAGGGAAGGTGATTTTTTTTTTTTTTGGGGGGGGGGGGGGGGGTGTGTTATTAAATGTATTTCTTTATCTGCATGTGCAGAAATGCAAGTGGGATATGTTCTCCCTTTGAAAATTCTGTAGCTTTATTGGAGAAATAATACTCTAAAATTGTAAACTGACCTGGATAATGAAATATATAAAAGTGATGCATAATTGTGTGGGTTTTTTTAATACCTACAAAAATCCTGTGATGTTCTGACTTTAGGAGTTGGCAAGCAGAATCTGTTGACAGTGGATGCAGTAACTGCACCCAGACTAGTCCTCCTTATCCAGAGCCATTTTGTGGGGATTCATTAGCTGGACACATGTTTGCAACTCAAGCAGGCCAGTACAGTTCTGGAAAAATGCAGCCTCCGCCACTAAAGGTAATGAGAGAAGACACTGTAGTATGGAAACTGCCACGCTGCCTGGCACACACAGTGTGTTACTGCTGCTCCTTGAGTTTGAGTCTGAATTGATCAGAAGAGAAAAGAATCAGAAATGACGTTAACCCTGTATGAGCACTGCCTTCATGACAGCGGTGTGCCTTTTGAGTTGTTAAAAATGCCCTCTAGGGCTGGGGTTTTTGTTAGCTTACTAATTATTTCTGGACAGAATTAGGTTTTTATAGTGAAAGGCAAGCTGTTTTTACTGTGGCCTTTATCTAATCTGTAAATGTGCACTTGTATCGATGTTTGTGTTGACCTGAAATGGTAACAGAAAAGATCATGATCAAATTCCAGTGCTCTTAGAAATAAGAATTTTTGAAGGAATTGTGAAGAAAGAAGCTTAATGTTTTAAGACTTGCATTGCTGTTTCAGTGTTAAACAAATACAGCCGAAATTTTCAGAACAATTGTGGTGAAACTGATGTATTTAAAATCGCTTGTGTTCAAGATATGAGACGTTGAACATAAACCCAAACAAGCCGAAATCAGCGCACTTCATTGAAGTAGAGGAACGTTAGCCATTTGTGTTGCCTTTAGGGAAGATCATGCCTCCTATTGAGGAGTGAGTTATCCTAAAATTTGGAAGCTTTCTTAGAGTAGCATGTGTTTTCTGGATTTCTGAATGTTTTAGTGTTCTTGTGTCATTGTTTCAACAGTCTTTAAGTTCCCTTTTGCTGAGTTGCTTCTCTTCATTTGACTTCCTCCAGTTTTAAGGTGGTTCCTTGCTTCAGGATCACCTTGCTTATTGAAAGGTGACTCAGTTTTCTTCTGTTGAGGCTGGAGATCAGGCGGTAGCTTGGTTAATGCCCAACTGCCAATGCTGAATGCAGTCTTTGTGCTCTGCAGCTATGATTCACGTTATAATTGCATCTCATAATTGTTACTGTTCCAGCAAAGGCTTTTGTAAGGTAATCTTATAATTTTGAATGACCTAGTTTTAAAACTTTTTTAAAAAAAATGAGGTGATTCATCCTCTGTTCTCAGTGCTCATTAAAACTTGAACCTAACCTAGCTAGCAGGGCAAATTGTTTACTTTTTGATACTGTTGAAATGTCTGATTGTTTTTGGTGATAGAGAGAAAATAAGGAAAAAATATTTTTTTTTTCCTTCATTGAAATCTTAGGTGGATAAGGAAACTAACACTGAGGATCTGTTTCCTGAAGAAGTTGCTATTCTTCCAAAAGAGAGAACTAGCCGCAGGCCACGGGGTTCTGCTTTTGTTCGCAGTAGCACTATTGTTCGTTCCCAGACCTTCTCGCCTGGAGCACGAAGTCAATATGTTTGCAGAGTGAGTACGGCTTAAAAAGAAGGGGTGGGGGGAGGGCCTCCACACAAGTATTTTGTACATTTTTGATAATTTCTTCTCAAGACTTTACTACATTTATAAGAGACAATTGCTACTTTTTAATACTAATGAATAATCTTTCCTTGAATTTAAACATTGCAGTGGGGAAGAGGTCCCCTGGTTCTTTTTAAGAGTTTAAACTTGAATTTATTCAATTTAAAATCTAAGAATCTGTGACAAATTAGATATTAAGCTCTTTTTCTTGGTAACCTTAGACGTTAGGGTGATTGATTTTACAGAGGTATAATGCTGTCTAATGTGGTGTATAAACAGCTTAGAAGCCACGTTTAACTTTCAGGTACCTAAAAATTTGGGACAGGGGACTGAAGGCGTAATCTTAGCATTATTGCATAAATATTCTTACAACTGTGGTTGCTGTCATGAATGTCAGTCATAGGATGCCTGTTACAGTGGGACTTGGGATTCCTGGGTGCGCTGGTGCAAGGAATTGAGGATCATCGCAACAATTTTCAAGCTCACATTAGCTCTGGTTGCTGTCTTCGATGGCAAAAGGCTTATAAGCAGTTGGCTCATGGTATTGCAGGTCAATACATGGGTATTGATTTTTTTTGCAGTATTGGTGGAATGCACGTAGCTTTGATTGTGCTCTTTCATAAGCTTTTGAGAGCTTGAGTGTGAAAATGCAGTAATCTTTTTAAACTTTTATTCTTTTTCCTAAATCAAGGTCTTCTGGGTTTTGCTCTTTTACTTACTTTGCATGCAGTACATTTATGGACCCTTTAAATTCTTCAGTTTGATTTCTGGAATCTGTATCTGTTTATGATATAGGGAATGTGAGGAAAACACCCTCACACACCAGAACAAAGATAGTGCAAAAAGGAAGAAGATTGTTAAAGACCCTCACTTAATCTGCATTTACTTAAAAATCAGAGGGGGACAACCAGTGGGAGACTGTGTTGTTTGTGTCCATGACAGTAAATGCTTTAGGAAGAAATACTGTTGCCTTTAACTCCCCCCTCCCCTTTGGATATTTAGTAGAATGCTTGATGAAACTTAGCTGTACAACATTGATGGTTTTGAAGTTATCTTGAATTATTGTAGCTATACAGTTTGAGCACTATTATATATAAATTTTTATAAATAACTAAAGCTGAAAAAAAGTTGCTTAAAACAACAGTTTTGGTGCATTTTTAAAAATAAATCTCAAAAGCAAAAAAAAAAAAAAAAAGGCAGATTTCTTAATGTAGATGACCTTATAAGCAACGTGTATTTTCAATCTCTTTTCTAATCAGCTGTATCGCAGTGACAGTGACAGTTCAACTCTGCCAAGGAAATCCCCTTTTGTCCGGAATACATTGGAGAGGCGTACTCTACGGTATAAGCAGGTACACCTAGGAAACTGTTTTTCACTTTTCACTAAGTTGCCAGAACACTGGTACTTTTATACCTAAGCTTTAGATGTCTACAGGTACATTCTGATGTTTTTAGGACATTTATAAGGCTTCTATAATCTAATTGGGGGAGGGGTGTGTGTTTTGGGTTTGGTTTGGGTTTTTTAAGCTAAAAGGTAGACAGAGAAGTGAAACACAGTTGTGAACAATTATTGAGGAGGAAAAAAAAAAGTGTCGCAGACAAAAATTAGTTTCGGGGGGACTGAGTTTGTATTGATTTAGATGGAAAGTTTGTTCAATCTTTTAAAAATCTAGTTTATGATGCAGGCCCAGAGAAGTGGGTGTGAACATGACAATAAAACACGCAGCTCCCCTCCCATTCAGCCTAGCAAACCGTAGTATTTGAGGCCCGAGTATTCAGGACCGAATAGGTTAAGCTCTCCTTTCACCCCCGTGCCAACCCATACACTGCAGAACAAGCGGGCAGAGAAGGGCAGGTAAGGCGTTAATGCCTTCCATATAAATTACATACAGTTTAGCCTGGTCAGCAGAAGTTAATTTCTTACTGGTGTAGGCAAGTAGACAGCCATGCTTCCCATTTTGATTCAGAATCTGTCTTAAAACCAGTATTGAATAAAGCCCTTTAAGGGGAATCTTGCTCAGTACAATGTTTTCTGATGTCATGACTCTGTTACGTTTTTCATATTGCATCCCTTTTATTATCATCATAACATGAAAGTTGAGTCCATAAACTTAAATATTTATAAGTCAAAAGGAGACTGTAAAAGGAGGTAGTAGAAAGCATTAATTGAAAAAGATTATGGTACAAAAAAACCCCTACAGCTAATTAGCCTTTCACTGTGGGATATAAATAATCTCTCCAAAACTTTGTGTCAAGAAAGACTTTGTGTGTGAAGTAAATACAGAAAATGTATGTTATATATAGCTAAAGACAGACCAGTATACCATGTTGAGAGTAATATATTGTGCATTTTATTTGAATCCTAATAACTCAGCAGTCCTGCAGATCATCTTTGGCTGAGCTTATGGCAAGGACATCCTTAGACCTGGAGCTGGATCTCCAGGCATCCAGAACTAGACAGAGACAGCTGAACGAGGAGATATGTGTTTTAAGAGAGTTGAGACAGCGTCTGGAAGATGCCCAACTCAGAGGGCAGACGGATCTACCCCACTGGGTCCTTCGGGATGAGCGATTCCGAAACTTGTTGAAGGAAGCAGAAAGGCAGGTATGGTAACGTGAGATGAGCACTCAACGTGTTCAGAAACTTCTAGTTTCAAAATGTCTTGATTGTGACAAGATGTCTAAAGAGCTGTTTTTACAGAACTTCAAACAATGAATGTTGCTTCTATATTCTTGAAGTTAGCACAATAAAAATTACTGCACTGATTATTAATAAACTGTATTTATTTGAGGATGATTACTGAAGAATTGGCAGTATTGCCAATGATACTTTTGGTTTAGGGGTTTTTTTTGTTTGGTTTGGGGGTTTTTTTGTTTGTTTAGATATTTATTATTAGAACTTCCAAATTTTCCTTTCTTCTGATCTTTGAGATCAATTTTGCTGATTTGATATTTCATTTTTTACAAGTATTTGGAATGTACCCTACGTATGTGATCTTTCTCAAAGTTATAGACAAAAAGTGGCAAAAACTACACAACAAACAAAATTGTCATTGGATAATCAGAGACGAAGAGTGGGCCTAAATTTATTTTAAGGTCTTGTTTGACAGATCTATGTGCAGCAAATGTCATTAATTTAATACATAGCTGTCTGAAGAGCATTAAGAAATGAAACAACACTGTCAGTCTTTTGAATTTATAATTCTTAGATGATACGGCTATTTGAGGCGATGTACTTGTCTGGTTTTACTGTAGTGAGTGGGGAAAAAATCCATTATTTTTAACCTGGTTATTCTTGTGTTTTATTTATTCACATGACCGCTTTAAGCATTATATTCTTTTTTTTTTTTTCCCTCAGACCAGGCAGACAAAATTTGAACATCACCAAGAGCAAGCAGCTGAAAAGATGCTAAAGAAAGCATCAAAAGAAATATACCAGTTGCGTGGGCAAAATCAGAAGGAGCCTATTCAGGTGCAGACTTTTAGGTAAGTGGTAATGTGTACTGAAATAGCATAGCAACGCTTCATTAGAGAGGTTAAAGATCTCTGAAGCATTTAGCTTAAATTCTCTGTCTTCTATATAGCCAGTGATTTTTAACTGTATATTGATTTGGACACATGAGTTTCCTTTGAATTATTTGTAGTGCAAAGAGCCAAAGCTAAGGTAAAATTGCAGTGTTAGAGTTCTTCAAGCACATGAAATTTAAAAAAAAAATAAAAATCTTCAAGCGCAAACATAGCTTAGGTGATTCTTTCAACTTAGCCTAGTCACTATTAAGTTCAAATGATTTGTCAGTTCTTCAACACAAGCCCGTGGGCATAAATCGTTTGTTTAATGTAATACATTACTAGTAACATTTTCTCCCTAAAAACTATGACTATAAACAGTCGTATAGGATGAGTTCTGTAATGCTTCCACCTAAATTTTCACGAATACTAATTGTGTTGAACGGAATGTTGCCAGAAGTATACAGTGAAGTTTAATAGTTTTTCTAAGTTTCTTGTGCTCAAATAAAGCATTAGTTCAGTATGTAAGTAACAAATACTAACCAGAGTTAAGAAACCATGTTCTTGGGGAAAAAAAAGTAGGCATATATTTGATTGATTTCCTTTTTATCTTGTTTTGATCACAGAGAGAAGATAGCTTTTTTTACAAGACCAAGGATTAACATACCTCCTCTGCCAGCTGATGATGTATGACATGTTGCATTGTAAACATGAAGTATTTATCGCTTTTATTTTAATGAAGTTATTAGATTAGCCAAGTTTCTTTAAAAAAAAAAGTGCAAAAGCTAATATACACGTTTTGTAAAAAATAAAAAAAGTAAAAAAAGTAAAAGTAAACAAAAACATATATATAAATATATATATACATATATATTTTATAATAGCGACTGCAACAAGGCTTGGTTTTTCCTTGTTGTGAAACTCACATCTCTGAAGACAACTTATTTTATAAAAGATCGACTATCCTGTTAAGAGCGTGTACAGTTTTTATGCTGTTTTATTTGACTTAAAGGCTGGAAGACAGAAACAAAGTGAGTTCAGGCAAATTCACTGTAGTGTAATTTATTTATAGTGCCTTTTTTCCTTGAAGGAAAATACCTACTTTAAGATGTATTTTAAGACTGAAATTTTGTTGTTCAGTATTTGTCATACAGTAGGATGGAACCATTGAGCTGGTTTTGTTTCTGATACCTGAAATGAAAATACTATGTTCTAAAATTGTCACTTTTTTCAGCATTATTTTCTGTAGCTTATTATGTACATGGTATCCTTTAGCACTGTCTGTGTTATAGCAAAATATTATCACCTGCAATGTGTTTAACACTGATTAGAAGTGATGTTAAACATTGCAGAATTCATTTGCATGTTCTTACTGTGCACTAATAGATTGTTTTCATTTCAGTTGTGTCTAAAGTATCTTTATATTCTTAACTAGATTCTCAGTTTAAACGGAGGAAGGAAAAGGGTGACAGGTCTTCATTTTGCTGTTTAATGAAAAGGGAGCAATGTGAGCTAGCTGTGTGAAAAGACCGCTAAATGAATTCTGTAATGATTTCTACAGCTTTCAAGATTCTGATCCGATTCAGGAAAGTACAAATATGCTGATTTCAGAAAGCAGCTGCATTAAGTAAGGGCGCTTAAACACATGTTCATCCTAAGGGATGTGCTGTGAGGTTACTGTGTGCAAATTCTGTTGACCAGTGATGCTTTCTAGGAGGAAGGTGTAGAATTCTGGAAGGTACAGCTCACTTGATTGCTAGCTGGACCAGCTAAAATCTGGTAAGAAATAATTTTACTTGTGACTGTTTTAATGAAAGACTGTCACCCTAAATTCCCGAGAATGCCAGTTTTATGTCCTTGCATCCTGCAAGTATGTAAAATACTTCTTTACTAAGCTACTATAATAGAGTTTCTCATATTTTTCTAATTATACATTACCTACAAAGAGAGGTGCCCAACACAAGACTGACTTTGTAAATTGCTGGAATCTCCTAGAAGGAAGATCATGCTGTCTCTTAACTAAAGGTCAAATTGGTTCCAGATTTTTGTATGTCAGGAAATCGAAACAGCAGCAGCCAAAAACTAAACAGACTTGTCAGAGCCCATCAGAATATTTTCAAAGATTTTGTAAGTAAGTGTTCTTTGTGAGTGTCAAGAGCTTATACTCTGTTAACCTTGTCAAAAATGAGGAAAACCTGACAGTGAAACTGAATTGCTTTTACTTGTCCAAGCTGAGGCAAAAAGTAATGGGAAAAAAGATTGTAAACCTAAATCATTAATCAGTGAGGATGATTAACTCAGGCATTTAATTTTAAGGTAGTATCCCGTTTCCTAGTATGGCCTATAAACATTACAGGCATCAATTGATTCGATCGTGTAGCGATATACATGAAATTAAAGTGTATTTAGCATTTATCATGCTAACCATCTTGAAGTCTGTTTTTGCCAGTAAGCTTCCATGGGTATTTATTGGGTTCCTGGGGCGCAACTAGACCTATTCAGAAACTATGCAGACAAAAACCAAATCATGTAAGAAATTTTAAGTGTTTGGGTAAAAGTCTAGGGACAGCAAGCTTTTCAGTGCTCATTACTCAAGAAGACCAGTTAGTCAGAGTTTTGTGTCTCATTTTTCAGTGGAGGCCCTTACGTAGTAGTGTTTATCAAAAGTTACCATGCAGTGACACCAGAAGTACTTGCTGTGTACTAAGAACAGACAACACCATGTTCCCATGAGGGTGGTCAGGTACTGGAAGAGGTTGCCCGGAGAGGTGGAGCTCTCCGTCCATGAAGGGGTTGAGGACTTGACTGGACGTAGCCTGGAGTATCCTGGTCGCACTAGGCCTGCTTTGAGCTGGGTTTGGGGTAGGGACCTCCCTTCCACCCTAAATTGTTCTGTGACTGTATAACGAAGGCGCAATGTCTGGTGGCCTCTCTGTCAGGGGGTTCAGTTGGGGTTTTTAAAGAGTGACTGCTGTGAGACGTCGTCGGCGTATCTTGTGGGTCTGTGATTCTGACTGCTGTAATGAGTTCTGTCGTGATGTGGTAATGAGTTATCATATTCAGTATTCATCTCTCTTGTTTTTGTCACAGTTCTGTATGATTGTGTCATTTTTGTATTATTTGAAAGTATTTCTTCTACAAAATAAAATAATTTGCCATAAACAGAAATAGAGTTTTGTTATATGTCAAAATATAAGACGTTTTTTCTGTGCATTATATTTGCCCCATTCATGATGCTTTCATAAAGAAATTTTGTATTTTGAGTAACACTGTCATTTAGGTGAATGCAATCAATTTTCAAATAAAAGTAAGAGAGGAAATCCATGAAATCAGAGATCCTAGAGAGGTTACACTGCAGACCCAAAAGGGATGCAGAGTGTAAGGAATGGCAGGTATGTTCTCCCATGTGCTCATCAGTCACGATAAGCTGACAGCTGTATCAGAGGCTCATAGCTGAATATTCCCGGAATTTATGGGTAGCTCCACTTAGCAATACGTTGAACTGCCTCTTTTTCTAACAGAAGTTTGTAGATTTGGTTTGGAAGTAAGTTGACATCATTAGTTCTGTAAAATCTTCCTTATGACTAATTCCAAGGCGGAAGCCACTCAAAAGAATACGAGTTAACTTTTTTAGGCTGAACTTCCTTGCTGCATTCACAAAGGAAACATTAAACCCGCATAATTGCAGAAAGACCATTCCTGAACCCTAAGCTGCAGGAGCGCAGGCAAAATCGTAGCACTGACATATGACTCCTGTCTCTGTCCAGTATTTGCAAGGCGTTAAGGGTATGACAGAGTTTAGGTTATTTTTAAACGGGCTGCTAGAAATAGCCATTTGGAATACCAGCCGCCTCTGTCTCCCTACCATCAGGATCAACGACAAAAGCTATAGTGGGTATGTCGGTATGGGTTTTCTGTTATAAGAATGGAGTCTTACCTGTATTTCTTGCTGCAGTTCTTGTAAGCACTTTGCAAGACTTAAAGGTAAGTGCTGTATAAAAAAAAGCAAGGTTTGGCTTTTTTTTATTTTTAGGAATCCAATGAACTATGTATTTTGTTTTCAGCGGGCGTGAAAGTGGGAATTTTTAGGGAAGAGGGCACTTCGTAGCTTGTTTTGCATCCAGTCTCCTTTTTAACTGTAGAGTGATACATCTTTGAGAGGAGTTTGTACAGAGAGGCTCGAGAAGCTGCAGGCTAGCAAAAGCAAGAACAATCTGTTCCAAAACATCATGGGAAGAGTATTTTCTTTTTCCTGAGACCACTCACTTGACTAAGTGTCATTGGAAGAAAATACCAAAGAGTTAAGTTGATTTGGTTTTGGAATCTCTAAATGTCAATTAAGTGGTTTGCTTGCACTTTGGAAAATCTCAGTATTCTTGAAGTTAAAAGCTTCTTAGTAGCTCTTTCTGACGTCTTAGGATTTCTAATAATCTCTTAAATTTGTACATACATATCTAGGTTATAGAATCACATTTTCTATCAAGAATTGGGTATTCTGTCCCTTTAGTTTGTTTGCAGTTAGACCATCCAACTAAAAATACACATTCAGCAGAGTCTTGATAAGTGCAGCTGTGGTAATAGTGAAAAGAAAATTAGGAACTGAATTTAGGAAAATCTGTTCAGGAAAAAATGGGAGATTGAGACCCTTGTGTTCATTTGGTTAGTGCACAAAATTACTATTCTGTGTCTAGGACATTGTGTTTGCATTAGAGAGTGTGCATTGTGGCACAGAAGTTCCCAGGTACAGATGTTTGTGCGTGACCAACTAAATGTTACTTGTTGTTTTCCATATTTCCCTCTCATAAACTGATTAAGGCAAATTGCAGATAACGCTATCAAGAAAATAAATTAAGTGCTCAGTGTTTAACTTCCTCCACAGAATTAAGTTGACCTATTAATACTGATCTTAATGGGCCCAAAGAGCAACCACTGGCAGGACGTTAGGACTTGTGTCACTCTTCCACACTTCATTGACATGGCTATAGTAGGCCTGGGGCTGTTACCCATCTGTGACATGGAGCGCTGCGATCTGCAGTGTTGTGTACTGGGCACTGGTGAGGCCGCACCTCGAGTCCTGTGTTCAGTTTTGGGCCCCTCACTACAAGAAGGACATTGAGGTGCTGGAGCGTGTCCAGAGAAGGGCAACGAAGCTGGTGAAGGGTCTGGAGCACAAGTCTGATGAGGAGCAGCTGAGGGAACTGGGGTTGTTCAGCCTGGAGAAAAGGAGGCTGAGGGGAGACCTTATCGCTCTCTGCAATTCCCTGACAGGAGGTTGTAGCCAGGTGGGTGTTGGTCTCTTCTCCCAAGTAACAAGCGATAGGACAAGAGGAAATCCCAAGTTGTGCTAGGGGAGATTTAGATTGGGTATTAGGAAGAATTTCTTCACCAGAGGGGTTGTCAATCATTGGAACAGGCTGCCCAGGGAAGTGGTTGAGTCACCATCCCTGGAGGTGCTTAAAAGACGTGTAGATGTGGTGCTTGGGGACAAGGTTTAGCGGTGGACTTGGCAGTGCTAGGTTAATGGTTGGACTCGATGATTTTAAAGGTCTTTTCCAACCTAAATGATTCTATGATTCTAAGGGCATAATCAACTCTCTTCTCTAAAGGCATGCTTCTCACTCCAGAAAGGTGTGGGAACTTCAGGTGAAGCAAGCTAAGCGTTCAAATTTCGTAATAAAATCCAAAATCTGTAGCTTCTGTATGGGGAGTCTATATCAGAAATAAGGAGTATAGGAACTTTCTTGAGCTGGTAGACAAGATTTGGAAGAGTTGAAAAGAGGTTTTGTACACCCTGTACCAACCG